CTGCAGGTTCGGAGTCCCCAAGGTGTTGGTATCGGACAACGGGACCCAGTTCAATGGAAAGCGGATTCGAGCATGGGGCGAGGACATGAAAATCGAGCAACACTTTGCTTCAGTCGCTCATCCGCAAGCCAACGGGCAGGTCGAGGTGACCAACAGGATCATACTAAACGGTCTCAAAACAAGGCTGAAGAAGGCATCAGGAGCATAGGTGGACGAACTCACCTATCCCTCGGCCCCGGGGAAGGGGAAGAGGTTCGGTACTATGGGCATACAGAACAACGTCCCGATCGACCACTGGGGAAACACCGTTTAGTCTTGTTTATGGAATGGAAGCTTTGCTGCCGGTCAAGGTCGAGGTCCAATCCCAGAGATCGAGCACGTATGATCGAGAGCAGAATGAACACTTGATGATGGCAGCTCTCGATACAATTGAAGAGCTCCGATAAAAGGCCTCAATTAGAGTCGAGGCGTACAAGCAAAGGATGCGAGCAGTGCACAACAGAAAGGTAAAAGTGCGGAGGTTCCAGGTGGGTGACCTGGTTTGGAAAAGAATCGATGTGTTGAAGCACATCGGAAAATTGGAGCCGAACTGTGAAGGACCATACTTCATCGAAAAGGTCCATACTGGAGGGGCATACTCCTTAAAGGACGCTGAGGGAAGATCTCTGGTCAGGTCATGGAATGTGGCTAACTTGAAGAAATATTAAGCCTAAATTTTTCCTTTTATTTATGAAGAAACTTGCTGGAATCAATGTAATGACCCCCTTTATTTGACAATTAATGAAATGGCACATTGGAACTTCTACAACTTATTGTCTATCGAATTACTTTATGGCTGGAATGTTTGGATTAACCCTGATGATAGGTCACTTACAAAAACCCATCATGACTAAGGCCGAGAGGCTGGATGGTCGCATGTAACGACCACTCCCTCGAGGGTGGGCATGTGTTCGAAGTGAGAAACGCTCATTATGTATAAAAAGAGGCTAGCTGAGAATAACATATCTCGACACAAGCATAAGGAGAAGGATACGCATAAATGGAAGACAAACATGATCGATCAAAAAATTATAAACACCAAAAGAGACAAAAAATGATAGAGTGCATTAATACCAACGTTTTACAAACTCAAAATACAGAAATCCTAAAAAGAGAATACATATATTCAAGAAGCTAGAACATTAGGATTTTGAGAAGTCTGCTCGGCTTCGGCATCAGTGGCAGGCTCGGGCTACTGCTCGATGTGTTGATTAGAACCAGAAGAAGGCTCGACCATGTCTGACAATGGTCGAGAGCGGACCGAATAAAGTATAGCCTGATGCATAGAGACCGGGGGACTGACACCGCCGGGCAGCTTGAAAGTTCTCTTCAGAAGGTCAGCCCGAGCCAAAGTACGCTCGGGAAGGCCTGACCACCACTCATCGGTAGCAGGCAAAGTGGGATCACCATGGAAATTTGAAGGAACCTTGGGCATAGCGTTCCATATGGCCTCTACATCAAGCCCCTCGAAGTCGTCCTCGACAGACTGCTCAGGGGCTTTAGTCATGGCAAATTGGAAGTAAATGGTGCCGAGGTCTTGCACTTCTTTCAGATACTGTGGTGACTGCATAAAGTCAATCACCATTTGCTCACGATACTCTTGCAGGAAACACTGCACGGCAGTGGTATGCCACAACATTTAAAGTGCCCGAAGAGCAGCAAGGTTGGTCACCCGCTGTTTTTCCTTGGCTAGAGCAGCCTTCTCAACCTCGAGCAGATCCTCAGTAGCTTTCTTCTCGTTGTCCTTCTGAGCAACGACCTCCTCGAGGGCTCTAAGTTTTTCCTTGAGCTCCTCATTCTCTTTCTGCAGCACCGAGCACTCCTCTCGGCTCTCCCTCACTGCTTGTTGCGCCGAGTGATGAGATCCCTATTCTACTCGAACAAGCGAGAAGCGCCTTGCTCGATCAAGGGGATCGAGTCACCTCTACTGGCTAAGGTTTGCTCAGCCATGGGAATCAACTCGACCAAACCCTGCATGCGACAGAGAAATAAGTCAATACAGAAACAAAAAACAACGAAAATCGAGTAAGGAGCTAATAGAGACAAAGTCAAGTAAAGGATGTCAAGCTCGAACCTGAGCCAACCATCGTGTGAGGCGTTGACCCTGTGTCCTCAGTGTTGGTGTTATATACTTAAGCTTTGCTTTAGTGGATATTACACTTGTTATTTCTTGATGGATGAGAATTATGTTTGGTTAAATAAGTTCAACGTTCTGTTGTTTTGCATGTAGATAAGTGGGTCATCATCGGGCGTACAGAAGATCACTATATCAATTACTTGCGAAACAAGAATCATTGGTTCACAACCTAGATGGAATTGAACAACCCATCGGAACGGTTGTAGTGTCAACCGTACGGTTTGTCTTGACCGATTAGTTGCACTAGAACATTTATGTATTGAACAGGATCTCATAGAGGGATGTTCGTTTTATACTGATCGTCGTAAACGAACTAGGCCTCAGTTAATTATTGCGTGCTCTTAACCCGTAAGATATTAAATAGACATGTGCACATAATTATTGTTGCTTTGATTCTTTGGGTGAGATCCAAGCCGGGTCGACATACTTAATGAACTGGGTAATGACATTATGTGCTCGATGTGCTATTAGGATATTTACGGTCACCATGTGCGTTAGTCTGATGATGTCCCCGAAGTGAGTTCATGAAGGAATATTATGCTAAACCCTGCAGGTGGATTTTTTCCGGCATAATATGAATGCTATGAGCGAGCGCTGGCTTCGATAATATAATATATTAATTAATTCTTGATTATCAGTGATCGAATTAATTAATGGACATTATATCTTAAACATGGGGAGGTAAATCGGATAATTATAATAAGGAGTCTCAAATGTAATTTGGGATAGGTGAGGGGAGTGCAATAATATTATTATGGTGGACTTTAATATTATTAATATATTAATTGTGGGGTTGCTCTACAGTATTAATATATTAGAAGCTGTTATCCTATTCTCCTTAGGGTCCCTACTGTAGCTCTATATATACAGCATTAGGCTCTTGGAAGAGAACAGACAATCCCATAACCTAGCAAACACGTCCGCCCCCTTTCTCTCTCTCTCTTCCAAGGAGTTGTTCTCTTTTTTGTGCTCCACTGATACAAGATCTAGATAGCTGTTTGAGAATACAGTAGAAGATCTTAAGGTATATACGGGATTCCAATCAAATCTATCATCCATCCAAACCGGAGACCAAAACCAGCAAGTGACCATACCACGACGACCAGGACGACGAGTCGGAGAGATCGCCATCGAGATCGCCGCCAGCCGCCGCCGCACGCGCCTACACGCACCATCGGAGGATTGTTGCTGCTGAGACTCACACACGCGCGTGAGAGCGCGTGGACGCTCTGATTCCCGACCGGTCAACGCCGTTGACTTCGCCGTGACGCCAGCTTCCTGGATGGGTCAAGTTTGTTCGATTCCGAGAAGATTTGATTTGCGGTCATCCGTTCGGGCCAGCCAGATCTACATAAATTTTAAGCCGTAAGTTTTCTACATTAAACCTTTAGATCCGCTGCGCATAGGTTTATGTTTGAATGTTTATCCGAGATTTGTGCATATCTAGATCCTCATAGATCCCAACAAGTGGTATAAGATCCCGAGGTCAATTCGTTATGTACAAGATCTGGATTAAACGACTTATATTGTCTATGTGTGCTCAAGCGCAACCATATATATTGGATT